CCCCAAAACCCCAAAACCCCAAAACCCCTTAAAGTATGCTAATAAAGAATCTAGTACAAAATGATTTATATTTACTAATTGATAAGTTATATTTTTTCATGGATAATTATAAACAGAATACTCTCAGTTTTGAAATTGCAGAGACTTAGATATAGCAGTTAATACATAAAACAGCAAAGTTTCTATATGAAAAAGAACTTCTAACAAAATTTTTCAAGAGCTACATTGCAAACTGGTCTTTGGAATATACACCTTATTTAGCAGCAAGAGAATATGACTCGAGAAAAGATGACATGATCTTAGATGAAAATTATGATTCAATTGAACCAGTAATTACCATTAGTTTCATTTTATTAGAAATCTAGCAATTTCGACATTTATGTATAAGAGAGAATTCAGCATTCGATGATACCAGCTAATGATACCAGAGAAGCCCAAAATGAAATTAAAGAGAATGCATCATCTACTCATAGTTCCCCTGAAAAATCTCCTTCTAAGCTTAAAAGTGTAATAAGACGAATGAGCATTGTGAATAAACTAACTGGCTTCAAAAATGACCAGCTAACTAAAGCTAAACTAATCAGAGAAAGTAGCAGAATTAGCGACGAGCTTATGAAAAGTGGAATCTAGAACAAAGCAAAAAACATAGATTAGAATGATTTTAACAAAAGCTAGAGTGAAATTGATCTTGAATAGAAAACTGAGGAGATGAGACAAGCCATCATTAAAGAGGAAACAATCAAAAAAGCTAAGGAAAAAGAGAGACAAGAATAAGTAAGAAATTGTTATTGCTTATCATTAAATTTAGCTCAGGCTTTAAAAACTTTAACAGCAATTAATAGCCAACGATAAAACTGCTTAGTCAATATACCTCGTAACAGAAGAGTTACAGCAAAATGTAAAGATAGAAAAACTCCCACCTCTTATTACAGCAATTGCAAAGTAAAAAAATGATAGATTAATTTTTTAAAATAGAGGAAAAGAATAAATCCCTTAATTACTGATAAAGAGAGGCTTCAAAAAGAATAAAGAAAATTCTATAAATTCTTCATAAACCTAGAAGTCTATTTAAGAAATGAAAAACTCCAACAGTAACTCAATAGATCATCCTGAAAGCTCCCTTTTTAAATACTAAGCTTAATCCGACTATGCTGACTTACTTTTGCCTTCAGATTTGATAGGAAATACAAAGGAGTATTTCAATCCATAGACTGGAGTAACATTTATAAACCTTGATTAGACTACAACATATGATCATGCTTCAAAATAGTCGAAGAAGGAGAAAGATAAGTATAGTGTAGTTAGCATGAAGAAAGGACCAGAATATTAGAGTTAGTTTAATGGTTAAAAGCTATCCTTAACTCAATACAATTCAATGAAAGGATTTTCTTCAAATAGAATGATTTCAAGTGAAAGAGCAGCTAAATTGAATAATTAAGATTATGATGTTTATTAATTAAATGGGAGTTTCACCAAGGGCTCCAGCCAATTAAAACGACTTGAGATTTTAAAGAATACTTCGGCTTTATCTCGATAGTAGGTCTTAGGAGACTTAAAAGCTAGAAGAGAAAATAGTGCTATTGTAGGCAAAAATCCAGATTCAGCTTACTAGTTGCTAGTACCACACTAAAAAACTGTAGCTATGGATTAGTCATTCACATCTTAATTTCAAATATTAAAGCATAATAACAGCGTTAGTATTGAAAGACCAGCAACATCAGGTATTTATACTGAGTATAGACTTAGAGAACAAAGCAGACAATAAGGGAGAATCAGAAGAAATATATAAAACTCATCTTTTGAAAGTGCTTAGGATAATTATGACTCATCAATATAAGTCAATAACTAGTCCAGTTCCTTTTATAATAACAATAAAAAATAAGATTCTGATCGATCAAGCCAATACAATCCTTATGAAAATATCAATAATAAAAACATCTTCAATTCCTTTGAAATAAGAAATTAGATAACAGGTTAAAATACCTTATCTTAATTCCCTAAATTAGACTAAACTCCTTTGAAAAACCTATAAAACAAAAGAGATTTAGAAAATATAAAAATTGGCTCTGAGCAATCGAGAATATTTACTAGGAGCCAAAAGTTAAGAAAGAAGAATATGTGATAAGATAGAATAATTTGTATTCAGTTCAAGAATAAGTACAGAGAGATTAAATAATACTAGTTAAGTCTGAGTATAAAATATTTTAATTTAATAATGAAAAAAATTTTAAATACCATTAATTATCGTCATTTAAATATGCTTTTGAAAGTACTGAAGAAACCTCCCCCATCCTATGCTTCTTTTTTTTAACTTTTATATTGATTTTATTGTGCTTCCTATTTGCTTGATTATTAATGACTCTAGTTTTGCTAAAAAGGATTATTTCTCTCATAGTATTTGTCCTTATTTTAAGCTTCATGTTTTTAAAATTCTTTTAAAAGCTCTTTTTGTTCTTCAGTTAGTTTTGAAGGGAGTTAAACCCTAAATCTTATAATATGATCTCCTCTCAAAGAATTAATGTCATAATTATCAGGCGGATGGAAAGGTTAAATACCTAAATTTTTTAAGATCATTTCCTAGCCATTTATTACTCCAGGATTCACTTCTATATTAATTTTCCCCTCAAGAGTTTCAATTGTAAGTTTGCATCCTAGAATAGCCTAGGAGAGGTTTAATGCTACATCACTTATGATATTTTAGTTCTCTCTCTTAAATATAGTATGCTCCTTGACTTTTATATGAAGCAATAAATCTCCAGGAGAACCTTAGAATACATCAGAGGCATGTCCTATTCCCATTACTTTAAGCTTTTGGCCATCATTAACTCCAGGTGGTAACTCTACATCTTCCTTTATTACTTATCTTTGAACTCCTAATCCCTCACAATCTCTATTAACTTGATTAGCTAATAAAAAGATTTTACATACTAGCACGGCTATCTGACAATACAGCCAGCTCCATTACATTTCTTACACTTTTTTCTAATTCCATAATTGCCAATAATACTGCCCCTACCTCCACATTCAAAACACTTCCGAGGTTGGCTTCCTAATTTTGCTTTCATTCCTTTACAGGAGTAGCAGATAACTCTTTTATTCATTTCCGCTTACTACATTTAAATTATAGAACCAAATAATTATTATTACTGTATTAACGCCTTTGACAGCATCCATGAACTCTATTTCTATATCCGCCTTATAATCTGCTCCTTTAGTATCATCTCTACTATGAGAATTAGTATCATTGAATTAGAAAAAGTCATCGAATTCGTCCCAGACTTTTTTAGCAAAATCTTCTTTAGTAGCATGCTACTTTGCATTGGCATGATCTTCTGAATCTTTTCTAAACTATTCACCTGCTTTCTCATTAAACTGCCAATTATTTTATTAATATCCTGGATCCCTTTTTGGTTTAGTCCTCTTATCCTAATAAACATTTTGATATTCATCATCACTGTAAGTTCCTGCACTCCTTGAGCCTGAACGGGCAGTTTGATTATAATTAAAGTCATTCATATTTGTTTTTCCAAAACCCATCTGCTAGTCATAAGAGTCTTTCTTTGTATTATCAGAAAGAACCTCATAAGCTCTACTCAATAGATTATATATTGATTGCTTACTTTGATACTTGATCAAACTTGGATCTGGCTTCCTAACCTGGATTTAAATCTGGATGATACTTCTTTGCTAATTTGAAATATGCTTGCTTGATTTCTTTATCAGAACTATCAGATTTTACACCCAAAATTTCTACACAAATCATATATAGCTAAAAATATTACAATAATAATTGATTCCCCTTGCTAATAGCACATGACTTTATCTAAATAATCTCATGCTTTATTTAATGATATGGATATTTCTTCTCTACTGACTATTAGTTGAGAAAAATGCTCTAATTGCTATAATATTCATTTTAGGCTAATTATAATTTTTCTTTAGCCTTTAATTACTTTATCAATAGAATTGCGGGGTTTTGGGGTTTTGGGG